GGATGGGTCGGGTCCGACCTTTGCCGGCGCCGAGGCTGTCCGAGGGGTCTCGGAACAGCGCAAGGCCCTAGCTGTCTTCACTGCCTTCAGGAGCGGGAGTAAGTTCACAGACGAGCGCTCCTATTTTAGTGACTGAAATGCAAATCCGTGGCTTGATCTTCTGGGACACGCTGCAAGCAGTGAGTAATCCTCAGAGGAAGGGCCCCTCTGCCTTCAGAGGCCGGGCGCTGTGCTGTTTGCCCCTTGCCCAGTGCTGCAGCCTGCTTTGCCCTTCAAGGTGAACTTCAGTTGTGCTCTGAGTAATCGGACCTGTAGCACTGTGTGAGAAACACAGCGAGTTTCAGTACTCGATGGGTGGGAGGAAAGCTGCTGTAACACTTGTCTGTTACGTGTTTGTGTATGTTCCGTCTGCAGTGGTTAGTCTCATTACAGGTGCTACCTTATGGCCTCGTGTGTGTTAATATGTGCAAATATGCCTGTCAAATGTCAACAGCATGCCGTTGTGCTTGTTCCCCATTATATAACGGCAAAAAGTTTTACTTGAGCACAGGCAGAATATTAACACACTCCTTTTGATAGTCATACTTATGAGAAGGACAGCTGCTGTTGGCTCTTTGACAAACCCAGCAGAAAGCCTTGAACACCACAGTCCTTTTGAGGACCAACTTTTAGCTTGCCTTTCTGTTGCCTTCATGTATTGAAGTTCTTCTGGAACTTATCATATGAAACCACGAATGCGAGAAGTACTTCTTGCAGATTTAGTTCAGCCTGCGTGTGTGCACAGGGTGACAGTGTGCTTCTGTGTGCTGCTCTCCTTGTGTGGTACTGCAACACCCCTCTCCCTTTATAGGGTTTGTATGGGGAGAGCTGTTACTGTTTTCTCTGTGGGAATACGTGTTGGACAGTAATTGAGTAGTGTAGGCATATTGAATGAGTGGTGTCCGCAGCCTGTTTCAGTGTGGGATAGGTAATGATCAAGTCTAAATTAGCATAAAGGAGAGTTATTTTCTGCAGTGGGAAACTCCTGTGCTCTGTGTGTTAGAGGAATGCGAACTTGAGCAAGCTGAGGAGGGGAAGCCCTACCTGGGCATCAGGCATGGCACTAGAGATAGTGAGCTTCTTGAGTTTAGTGGAATGACTTGTGAGAATCGAGCTGAGGTTACTGAAACCAGTATTTCACCTCAGTCTTCCATGTGTTTTCAAGATTTGGACAGCAATGATGACTCAAATGTCAAACTTGACTCCCTTAGACTAACAGAAGATCTAACCAGATTGAAGGTATTAGTGGTGGATTCTTCATCTGACTTAGACATTCTGAACTAGAGTTTTAATGACTTGCTGGCTGGCGTTTCATTGTCATGGCTCAACGTATTAAGCCCAAGTGTGTCTGTTTCTTCTAGAAAAATAAATTATTCCACCAGTTTGTAGCTTTTTAGTAATTCTGGCATGAACTGCTGTATCTCAAAGCCTGTCTCTTGCATAGGCCCTACTTGTGTTGCCTAAACCAAAGTAATTAGAGAACAAAGTTTCGGATTTCTAAATTGTTATAAAATAAAATGTAATCCCTGTATGCAAGAACATGAACATCCAAATCCCCTTGATCAACGGGGTTGATTACAAAAGGGTTGTTGGTTTCAAAATATAGTGATTAGATGAAGTGGATATGAGGAGCCATAACTCAGATATGCTTCTTTTACAGGCTGTGTAAGATTCAAGACCTGAAAAAATGGCTTTGGCAGCTATCAATCCACAGCAGGTACATCTGAGTTAGTTTAGCCCCATAGTTTTTTGTCTAGTTCAGGAAAAAAATAGGAGTGAACTTACCTCTTTCTCTTTTAAACAGAACATTGTATCAAGGGTTGTCAACCTTCCCTTGGTGAGCTCCACCTATGATATGGTGTCCACAGCATACATCACCACGAAGGATAACCATCCTTATCTGAAGTCAGTATGTGAGATAGCAGAGAAAGGAGTGAAGACGATTACTTCAGTAGCCATGACAAGTGCTATGCCTATCATCCAGAAGCTGGAACCACAAAGTAAGGCGAAGATGGAGTTGTTGATAACTTTAATTCAACTGATTGCTCTATATATCCAGATGCACTTAGTGTAGCATGCATGGTCATCTATTCTGGGGTACATCAAGAGGAGGGTGGCCAGCAGGTCGAGGGAGGTTCTCCTTCCCCTCTACACTGCCCTGGTGAGGCCCCATCTGGAGTAGTCTGTCCAGTTCTGGGCTCCCCAGTTCAAGAAAGATGAGGAGCTGCTGAAGAGAGTCCAGTGGAGGGCTACGAGGATGGTGAGGGGACTGGAACATCTCTCCTACGAGGGGAGGCTGAGGGAGCTGGGCTTGTTCAGCCTGGAGAAGGGAAGGCTGCGAGGGGACCTAATATATACTTACAAATATCTGAAGGGTGGGTGTCAGGAGGATGGGGCCAAACTCTTTTCAGTGGTGCCCAGTGACAGGACAAGGGGCAATGGGCACCAACTGAAGCATAGGAAGTTCTGTCTGAACATGAAGAAGAACTTCCCTCTGAGGGTGATGGAGCCCTGGAACAGGCTGCCCAGGGAGGTTGTGGAGTCTCCTCTCTGGTGATATTGAAGACCCACCTGGACAAGGTCCTGTGCAGCCTGCTGTAGGTGACCCTGCTTCGGCAGGAGGGTTGGACTAGATGACCCACAGAGGTCCCTTCCAGCCCCGACCATTCTGTGATTCTGTCATGCCGGCCTGGGGTGCTGTTTCAGGTAGTTGACTGAACCTGTTGCCTGGCTTGTTGAGTAACTGATTACAGATGGGTATGATTTAACAAAAAAAAAATCCAGAGCCAAAATGGATTCCAGCTTTTGTAATGCTAAACTGGCTGACTCCTCTTGCTATGTGAGATGGTTATGTATTCTCTTGCTCAACACCTTCCTCACCTTTCACCTGGTTTCAAATGCGCTTTGTACTTTCTTGCACTGGGAACAACTTGTGGTTAAATTTGGCAACTGTCGCAAGGCTGTTGTAACCAGGAGCCTGGTTTCATGAAGTGGCAGAGGGCCAAGTGTTTCAACTTGTTCTAATAGTTGCTTCTGAATATCAAATAGATTTTGGTCTGAAAGTGAGCTTTCTTCTGGCACTGTAAACCGGCCTTGTTCTTGGCATTACTGGGCACTGTTGCATATGAGCTCTGTTTCAGGAAGAATTCTCAACTGGACTTATTTGTACTAAGGAAAAAATCCACAAATTATGACCAACTATTGTAATTTCTTTTATAGTTGTAGTTGCCAACAACTATGCATGTATAGGTCTAGACAAAATTGAAGAGAGACTGCCTATACTGAATCAACCCACTGACAAGGTAAGTTCTTTCCGTATACATAGGCTAAGCAGAAGAACTAAACACCCTGCTTCTTTCTATTATCACTATAAGTATAAGGAGATAGATTTCAATAAGCCATGCCTGAAGCACAGCTTAGAAGCAATGAGGAAGTAAAAGGTGTTTCTGTAGAATTGTTTGTTGCCTTTGGGAGGCCATTAAGCCTTTTTTTTAAAAAAATTTGCCCACCATTTGACATATCTGTCTATAGCTGCCTTTGACTAGTGGGCATCTCTTTTAAAATTTTAATCCTTGTCTGTCTCCTGCTCAGTGTGAAGCAAGTAGTGCCTGAATTACATTTGTTGTAGTGTTTTGATCTGAAGGCTCTGTGGCAGTTATAGTTTGTTTTCTCTTGTACATGTGTTTTCAGGGCAGAATTTCTCCTAGATAACCAATACTTGTACAAGCTTTAGCATAAGTTTATATTTTCTGGATTATGTAGCTCTCCGTAGTGAATCAGCCTGTTCCCTATGGCAGGTTGTTGCCAATGCCAAGGATGTAGTTGTTGGAGCCAGAGAAGCTGTAACAACCACTGTGACTGGTGCCAAGGAAACTGTTGCTCACACAATCACTGGAGTTGTGGGCAAGACTAAAGAAGCAGTGCAAGACAGCGTAGAAATGACCAAGTCGGTTGTCAGCGGCAGCATTAACACTGTCCTGGGAAGTCGTGTGGTGCAGATGGTGAGCAGTGGAGTGGATAGTGCTCTCACTAAATCAGAGACCCTTGTAGACCAGTATCTCCCACTTACAGAAGCAGAACTAGGTAAGACCAATTCAAGGTTTGATTTTGTTGGAATGCTTGTATTGGGGAGAAGCAATCAGTCATCCATTTATTACTTGCTCATAGTGGGGACGGGGCATGTGCTTCCCAAACTGCCTATTCCCTTGCTGGTTGTAATAGCATCTTCTCAGGGAAGCAGAGTGAAAGTAAGGATTTCAATGTATGATGGTCTACCAACCTACCTTGGTGTTAAAGGACTACTAAACAAGTCCACCATTCAGGTGTTACTAAGTGAATAAAATTGCCTCAGACCTCTTAAGTTTTCTTCCAGTTGCCAGTTTGCTTGCTTTCTACATATCTAGAGAAAGAAGCTGCAAAAATTGAAGGTTTTGAAGTTGGAGTTCAAAAGCCAAGCTACTACATTAGACTAGGATCCCTGTCTTCAAAGGTCCGCACTCGTGCCTACCAACAAGCCTTAAACAAAGTTAGAGATGCTAAACAGAAAAGCCAGGAGACGATCTCTCAGCTCCACCACATTGTTAGTCTGGTAAGTCTAAGCTTTTGCTTGAGGTGTGAAAGGCAAATGTTGGCATAGTTCTGGAGTGTAGAAAATAGCTGAAAGAGGCATAGGAAAACTGGAATAGCTCTCAGACTAAATGCATTTTCTAAATATAAAGTGTTTCCCATTCAGAGCTTTTCACCACTATTCAGGAGAGGTCCTAAATCAAGCTGAGCTGTAAACTAATGAGCATTTGCTTGTCATTTCTATTTCTGCAGTGCTTAAAATTACATTTAAAATTATATTCCTGTTTTAGAGTGCTGGGTTTGACACAGACCTTATTCAGTGAAGAAAGTCTCACAATTTGGAAACACTTCAGTCCTTTAAGACCTTTTCGTTAACAAAATGTCGGCTTCTTTGTGGGCTTGCTGTTCTTGCTGTGGGTATATCTGAGCATTCCTGGGTACTTCAGTAGCCTTATTCTAACAACTTACCTTTATGTACAGGACAAACTGTGCATAAAGAGTCAAGGCCTTCTGTACACTTTCAAATCCTTGTGTAGGATGCTAGTGGGGGAGGGGCAAGTAGTTCAGGCAGTGATACACTACATAACTTCTCAAAACTGCTTGCCAGTTTTCCCTTCTTTGAAGAGAAGGAACATACTCTTACATTCACTAAAGTCTTTTATACTGAACTTCTAAAGTATTTAGAAAGGAGGCTACAAAGCAGGTAAGGTAGGGTAGCCCTAATAGAACTGTTTGGACTCTTTGCTTTACTTCCTTATTTGGCTGTATTTCAGATCGAGTACGCCAGAAAGAACATGAATAGTGCCAATCAGAAACTTCTTGGTGCTCAGGAAAAGCTTTATCAGTCCTGGGTAGAATGGACGAAAAATACAGGCCAAAACGATGGTGATGAACCACATAGCGCTGAGGTAAATAGATGTCAGTGTACACCAGAAGTGAATGGATTGTGTTATTGTCAAGATAACGACAAACTAACAGTCCCCAAAGTACGCAGCACCTTAACAGCACAGAAGCTTATGTGCAAATGTGGAATCTGAATGCTGAAGCTTAGGGCGGCTGACTAGTAACTGCTATGAAAAGTAGAGGATACCCAAATACTTAAATGAGTAATTCCTGCAAATAATATGGGGTTCATTTGCCTTTCAAGAGAATGCTCATCCTGTTTAGCATGTGAACCTTGGGGTATCCATATCTAGATCAGCTAGGACTTGCTTATCTGATATGGTCAGACCAGAAATAACAATTTGTCAGCATAAAGCATGCTTAGGCACAGCCTCACTGAGGCTTATACGTGGCTTTTAACAGTGGTTCATTGATTAGAACATACTTACCTGCTGTGACTTGTTATCCAGAGTTGAAACAAGAGCTTGTTTATCTGTCGCTGGGTAGAAGCTACCAGTGTCTCTGTTCCACAAAGTACTTGAGTGCTGTAGAAGTGTCAAGTACTTTCAAGTCTCTGACGCTTCAGACTTAAGACCTGTTTTATGATCTGCTATAGCTTCATCTTACTTACATCCCCTTTACTTTGTTTCTTTATGTATCTTGAGGAACATAAAGCTGCTACAGTCATAAAAAGATACTAATGTGCTGTTACACTTTTTGTTTCCAGCACATTGAGTCGAGAACTCTGGCTATTGCACGGACCCTCACTCAGCAGCTTCAGACCACCTGCCTCACCCTGGTCTCAAGCCTGCAGGGGCTGCCACAGAATGTGCAGGATCAGGTTTACAGTGTTGGGTCAGTGGCAGGTGATGTCTACCAGAGCTTCCGGTCAGCATCCTCCTTCCAAGAATTATCAGACAGCTTTCTTACCACTAGCAAAGGACAGCTGAAGAAAATGAAGGAGTCTCTGGATGATGTGATGGATTATCTTGTTAACAACACACCGCTCAACTGGCTGGTAGGTCCCTTTTACCCACAACTGCCTGGCATTCAGCATGCTGAGAGCAAAGGTGAAGGGGAGAAAAACTCCAGCCAGAAAGACAAACAGCCTGAACACACTACTGAATAAACCGCATAGCATGCATGTACTCTGCTGACTGACCAAACAAGTGGCCTTAGCAAGTGTAGGCTGCCAAAAAAGCCTTGGAGAAAAATCTATAAACATAGGAGTAGGGGAATGATAGAGAGAAGGGACACTCACACATGGGCTGTATTGTCCTGTGTAGTTTAGCCATTCCAAAAACTCAGACTGTCTTTAATGCCTAAATATTGGCAGCTTGCAGTTGTCAAGATGCCTTGTTTGTCTGTCAAGAAACCTCACCATGCTCATTAATAGTATTAATACCATTAGCCTAAATGAAACCTACCGTAGCTGAAAGCATTTGATTTGATGCTTAATATGTACCAGAATGGTATAAAACCCTTACATACATTTAATGCATTTAAAAGCCCTGCAGTCTAGCTAGGTACGCTTAAATTCCATGTTTGCTGCAGATCATGCATTTGATTATTATGGATCTGACTGTCTCAAATTCTACTGCTACACAATTTGTGACAAAAGTTCTGTGAGTGCAGAATTCCAGTGCTGAAAGTGGGGTTTCTGAACGAGTCAGCTGGAGTTACTTGAATGCTGTGACAGTGCTAACATTTAACTATATAAAGGTAACTATTTTAAAACACAGTAACCTGACCACAGAATTGTAGGTTATCTCGAGTTTTCAGGGACCCATAGGGATCATCAAGTCCATCTCCCTGCTCCTCGCAGGACTACCTAAAACTAAACCGTATGACTAAGAACTTGAACTGTTGACAGGCTTGGTGCCGTGACTGCTTCCCTGGGGAGCCTGTTTGAGTGACTGACCAAACCATTATCAATACATTTTTTGATATGTGGTATAAAGACAAGATTCATGCTGTTTGTACACAGATGCCTGCTGTTGTGTGGGTGGTTGTTTTTTTTTGTAGTTGTCTTTGTAATTCATTTTGTATCTTAGTAATAAATGCTTCAGTAGCCAAAGTCTGTCTCCATTTCAGTGGTGTTTAAAATAAATGTAACTTGCTGTTCTCTGACTCCTTCTGGGTCCAGCAGAAAGCAAGCTTGAAATGCAAATGAAGTAGACGCATTGAAAATGTATTTCTGTATGTATAGATGAGTACGATACTGCTGCAGCATTTCTTTCCTCCCTTTTAGTTCCTGGGCATCTTTCCAGTTAGTCTTAGCTTTAGTACTGCTTTTTTGGTGCTTGCTGTTGCCTGCCTTTACCGATGACCTAAGCTGTGAGCTGATGGATCTTCTAATATTGAGAAGAGAGGGATATGGACCAAAAAAAACACCCTGTCCTGCCTTAGCAGACTGCTGGCTGCCTGCTTTGGCTGCTGGCTCCTTATAAACAGTATATACTCATCAGCTGCCAACACCAGTTTTAACCCGTTTGTTTGCCCTGTTTTGAACCTGAGTGGCTAATGTACATTAACACTTAGCTACTTGGGTGGAATTGTTCCTCAATAAATCCTGTCAATCCCTCCCCTGGAAGAGAATTACAATCACTAAGAAATAAGCTTTCTTGGTTTAGGGCTGTCCAGGTAGGTTCTGTCTGTGTTCCTAATGCATGCCCTACACAACTTTGAGTTGCGATCACTGAGTGTAGCAATGCTGGCCACCATTTTCAAAGAGGTCGCCAAACAGCGTGAAGCAAAAATGGAGTTCAAAGGAAGCTTTTTCACATGTTGGTACATGAAACAATACCTCCCCCAGCACACTGTGAGCACTAAAGGAAAACACATGTAGTCTAGCCCTCTAAGGTGAGAGAGGCGAAGTCAGGGTTGGTCTAGAAGTGTTAGGGAGACTGTGCTTTAAGCACAATATTAAACAAAATTGTAACAGGATTACAAATAAAGGTTCTGTAACTTCCAGCTTTAAATAGTTGTTGTTTGTAAGGGGGCTGTTTAACACGTAATTAACATGAGGTGGCGAGATACTCCTTTCCAGCTAAGGCCCTAATTAAGACTTCTGGAATTCTTTCAGCAATTAATTCAGATTAAGTATTGAATCAATCCAGACAGATAATAGCCTTTTTTTTAATCTACATTTGTAATAAAATTGGTAGAGTGCATCCACTGTTGTAGAAGTGCTCAGGAATAGCATGGGCCTAGTCAGGTCTGGGAGCAGCTGGCAGTTCAAAGAAGGGAATTCCCATTGTTATGTATTTTAAAATCTGAAGGCTGTGGGTCTTTATTCTGCGGTAATCAATCAAATAAGGTACTCAAACTGTTCACTGTCATTTCAGGACTGAGAAATAAATAGCACCATCTAGTATTAATACAAGAGCAATGCATCTCTGTTCTGTCTTAAGTTGCACTACGGTTTCATACTCCCTTAGATGGCTGTCCAGCTTTACTAAATGTCAGCAAGCAGATCAAGTAGAAACCAGGGAAAAATGTTACCAGCAGAGACCTTCAAATCGTTTCTTCCTCACTGGGCACTATTGGGTGGCTTCTGTGTGAAGGTTACTTTGACTTCTGATACCTAAGCTACAACTCGTGGCTGCAGATAGAGGAATGCCTGGTTAAATGCTTGCCTAATGGTTGGGCTCATATAATAGCTTGTTACACCAAAATGCTGTGCACAGGTTCATCTATCATGCTGTTGTGGCGTGTGGTTCTTTCGTTGGACCCTGCTCCCCCTGAAAGTGTGTAAGTTTCTATGAGGATGGATGAATAACAGCAAATCACTGCATTCCTGGTTTATTACATTGAATAAAAGTATCTGGATTGAAACTATTAGACTTTCCTAAGAAGGACAGCACTGGATGTTTAAACGAAATTGCAACTGTAGCTTGCATGGGTATCTTCCTGCTGGTAATCTCGTAGAGCATATCCCTAGACTCTATTCTAACTACAAGACTATAAATAAAACTTGTTATTTTTCTCTAGCACAGTTAGAAAGAATGACTACTGGAATGTCCTCTGGAGGCAAGAATGATATGGACACCTTCAAAATCCCTCTTTGTTTTTTTTTGCCACAGTGGACTGAAGCTGAAGTGCATGCTAATAACTGCTGAAAACTCTCAAATAGGAGGAAAACCTAAGACATTAACAGAGCAGAGCCTGCTCATAATTTTTTCCTGCCATCTTACCTGTTTCTCTATAATTGCGTGTGTCAAACAGCTCAGCTACACTGCACAGAAACTTGCTTGCTCTTAGTTCAAAACCACTTTTGAGGATATAGCTTGGGCTAGAAACCTTTTAAAAATATAAGACCAGATATGTTGAAAATTATAGAAAATAGTCGATCCTATTTGCAGCAAGGCAGATAAATTAGATTAAATGGAACAGAGTGTCAAAGGCTGCTAGTCACACGAATACTGGGACGGTAAAGGTTAGAATACGAATAAAGTAATTATCACTGGTAGTGTTATTTAGGGTTTATTTAGAATCCAGAAAATGATTGTTTCTCTTTAAGAGATCACTCAAAAATAATTAATCTCATTTGAAACTTCCCCTTTCTAGGCTCATTTAAGAGAACTATTATTCTATCAATGTTGGTAATACTTTGCTACAGAAGTTTTAAATATAAGCATTTGTAACTAGCTCCATTCGGTATAAAAGTTCTGCAAACATCATATTTATAGCAGCATTAAGGACTGGAGTTGCAGGGATATAGCTAGTTTGCCTCAAACAAAAGAAAGGTGGAAGGCTTTTGAAATCTCTCCCATTACTTAAGATGACTTTTTTTGCAAGAAGTTTTTCCAAACTGCAACTTACGGTAATACTATATAGCTAGTAAAATAGGTGAAAAGATTTGGTAATAATTGATGAATTATTTCTCTTTATTTAAAGAAACCAAAACCAAAGAAAGGAAAACCACAAAAAACACCCCAAAACTTACCTAAGCCATGTAATTAAAAAGAGAAAATGGAACCTAACTTATATTTTAAGTGTGATGTGTTAGTCGTTTGCATGATCAGAAAGTCTTACCTGCAACAGCTTGCTGGAGGTATTACGCACAGTCTTTTGTTAAATGTATTTCTCTTCATACTAAGATGAAAGTTATATTTCTTTTGGATAATACGGTCCCTGATGACTAAACGTAAGTGCTTGTTCTGAAACTGCACAAAGTAAGAACCATCTCTCAAATTGCTGGCGTCTCAGTTCTGAAAATATATTAAGCAAGAAAAAGTGGACTAAGTTAAAGTTAAGTTAGTATTGGCATTAACATTTGTATATGAAGTAGCAAAACACTGAAGTATTTTTTGCACTATTCCATGCAAGCATTTTGCAAGTTTTGCACTATTCTGTGTAAATGATCTAATCACATCTTCTGGAGAAATGGCATGAAGAAGAGTCATATCTGGCCTTACTCTTTGTTGCAAGAATTTACTTACTGCTTTGTTTCAACTTCCTATCAGCTGTGAAAAGTGACATGGAAATACAGGTCCTCTACCTGAGCAAGCCCATAACACCAAGGGCTTTGCATTGCTTTAGTTAGACTGGTGCAGATGTCAGAATATGCTATTTTAATACAATCTAGTGTGTTCAAAGCTAGAGATAAATCATACTGATATCAACCATGTTTTACTCTGATGCTGTCAGATACAGTTCAATTTGAAATTCTTTCATGGCTATGAACATCCTACTGGTGTGTTAAAGGAGTTAGCTGCTTATAATGTGTGCATTAAGGAGATGAAGAAAGCACAAACTTAAATTCGAGCAATTATCCTGTTGTCAGTAAGAACAACATGGATCTAAGTAATAAAAGTGTTTTAGACCTAGGATATCATGAAAAATCACTGGTCAAGACACAGTTACCGAACATGGTCCCGTGCCCTGCTCAGTGTAAATACAGAAAAAATCAACTTCTTTAAACCATCCAGTTGGGCACATTTTTTAAAGAGTTTGCATATGAACTACTGGGCCTTAGTTTTGTTAAGATATTCCCATTAGTACTGTAGTATGAAATACAGGGTCATGTGCTGATAATGGGAAAACTTGTTGATTTCTCTAAGTGCAGTAACTAGAGTTTTAGGTGAACTGCCATAAGCAGAAAGATGCAAGACAATGGTTGCTGGTAGAAAGATGTGTTTCCCCCATTTCTAGTGCCTTTTAATTTTTTAGCAGACAAAGATTACTGATCTCATTTTGATCAAGCTTAGGTTCTCAAAGTGGTCTGTGCATTGTATTCACACTAGCCCCTGGTAAGTGACATGCTGCTTAAATTCTTCTGAAGCTCTGTTTCTCTTAATATTTTAATTAATATTTATAAGTCCATGGTGCCCTATGGCTACCTATTCTCTAGGTAACTGGGTGATTCATGTTCAATGCTTCAGAGCTATCTACAGTGTGATAGCTGAAACAGTAATCCCTTTATCCTTTGATGTGTTCTCTGTTCTTCTGACGTCTTCATAGCAGGCAAAGGATACATTTGTCTTGCATACTAGCTTCCATAAAAGTCAGTCATAAGCAAGTTGCTTGCAGTTAGGGGATGGATTAAATCTGCTTCTCCAGTCAGCACTGAGTTTAAGGTACACAAATGCCTAGAAGCCCCTTCAAGTTGCTGCTTCTTTGTACATGCAGAACCAAAGCCCTGTCAGCACGCAGCAATCGCTGTGTGCTGATACTGTGCCTGGCTCCAGGTATGTCCCATCATCCACATCAAAGCTAACCATGAATCAAACCATAGATTGAAGTATTTTTCACTTGGGGCAAAAAACTTTTGGTTATGAGTAAACTGCTTAATTATATCCCATTTTTCAGAAGTGCCTAAGTAATCTAAGTCCTACTAAGGGGACTTAAGGGTTGGGACTTAAGCTCCTAAGTGTCTTAGCCAACATTTTTAGAAGTGTGTTACATCCACGTATCCCCTAATGTCTCTGCCAATTCCTGAAACCTGGTGCTGCTTAACAGTACAGAATACTATAGAGGCCGAAGCAGGATTGCAGTTCCAGGTATTGGTTTCCTCAGGAAAGGTTTGATGTGGTTGGCAGGCACACTAGTTAGTGTAGGGCAATCTGTCTCAGGCTCCTCAGGGCAGGTTACTTTGTGCAGCCCATTGCTCCCAAGGAGAGAAGAAAGCCAAAGTAAGTTTAAAAACTTCCTTTCTTAATTTTCCAGTCATGAGTTTCACTACACACACTGCACTGAGTTCTGTTCTGTTCCATCCCTACTATAAAATCCTGCTTTCTAAGCAACTGGTCTACATCTTGCATAGTGTTTTGTCTGTCTTAATGCTGTATGTTCCATATGTGACGGAGCATATTTCACTCTGTATTCAGTATTTTGGGTCTGATTTCTAGCGGTGCTAAACATGTCTCCTGATTCCAGTGAGGACTATGGCACACATTTATTTAGTTTTACTTTTAAATTGATTGCAATTTCATTCCTATGCAGGTTCCAGATTTCACTATTACAGACCTGTCTTCAGAGTCAGATGATATCCCAGACATTCTGGATTTGGATGAAGATGATCAACAAGACTTTTCACGCACCAACGGCCCTTACACTACAGGGCAAAGAGCTGAATAAAGAGAAGCATAGAAATGTTGTTTTGATAAAATGTACTTTTGCCATGTTTAACTTCTATTTCTTCTTTTTAAAGATGCACCTGCCTAGCTTAGGGATTTTGGGGATATTTTTTTTTAATCATTACTGTTTTGCTTGGCTGCATCAAAATTCCAGGTTTTTTCCACCTAAGGAATGCATGCCGCATTCATTCATTAGCACGGGGGTCAAGCTCCAGTTCTACAAGCCATGTATAGCCTAGCCAGTGTATACAGCTGATCTAATATTTGTTAATGATTTGTTCTCTTGCTGGCAGCAGCCATGAGAACACCCCAGTGCTTTGCATAAAGGGTTGCCAACAAAAGGAGTTGATGAGGATTTCCCCACAAAATTTCCCCTTTCAGCCTACATGAAAAGCACTTCTGCATCTACCTCTTTGCTGCTGGTAGGGGTAAGGGACTTTGTCTCTCTCACATTCTCTCAGGTTCTTCTTGTTAGGCTCTGTACCCACAGAGCTTAGAAGCCTAGAGCTTCCCTTTGGCAAGAGTGTTTCATGCACTAAAGACTCCCTTTTTCTCTATATGCCTTCTGTGTGCAAAAACTCTGGCTATCCTGATACTATCAGTTGTGAGGGCTGCTACTAGAAGAGAGTAAAAAGCAAAGTTTTCCAGGAATTAGGAGTACAAAAAAAAAAGGGGGGGGGGGGAAGCGACTGTAAAAAGCAAGAATAAACAGAGGGCAAAGAGATATGAACAGATGTGAGACAGAAGAAAATGGCAGAAAAAGAGAAGTGAAGGCAGGGGTACTTCTGGTGACAGTGATGCGCTGCTTATGTTTCGGTAAAATCTCAATCCAGTATTTGCTATGGAACGTTGACCCGGCATGTGCTTGCACGCAGTGACTTCTGTAGGAGCTGGGGCGAACGGGAGCTGGCTTGTTACACTCCTTCCAGTGCAGAGATCTCCCCGGTGTGACGGCAGCGGGCCTGGAGATGTCGCGCGATGCTACCTCGGTATGGCTGTGGAAGCATCGCTTGGCTGTTGGTGTAGCTGCGCGGCTGGCACCCCCGCTCTCTCGTCGCGTAACCCTCGGTTGCTGTGAAAACCTTGAAGTCTAGTCACTGAAATGCCTTGGAATAAAAGTTTGAACCACACAGCCTGCGGCCGGTGCCGGGTCTTGCTTGGTGGGTGCGCTGTAACCTGGTTGCAGCGGAAGAGCCCTCTGGGGCTCCCCCAGCCCCCTCGCCGCCCGAAGCGCGACGCCGTCTGCCACCTCGGGTTGCGTCAGGGGAGGTTTACATCGGATACTGGGAAGAATTTCTTTACTGAAAGAGCGGTCAGGCACTGGAACAGGCTGCCCGGGGAGGTGGTGGAGTCACCATCCCTGGAGGTGTTCAGAAAACGTGCATAAGTGGCACTTCGGGACACGGGTTAGCAGGCACGGTGGCGGTCGGTTGACGGCTGGACTTGGCGATCTCAGAGGTCTTCTCCAGACTTAACGATTCTATGGCTCTATGACTCATCAGCTCCCGCTGCGCGGGGCCTCCCCGGGGCACGTTTC